CCCCAAAACCCCAAAACCCCAAAACCCCAAAACCCCTTTATCCGGTTATTCAATTGAAAATCTATTCTGATAGGCTGAGTGTTATTCTTGACTTAAATTTTAATTAAAGTTTAAAGGCTATTCACGCATTCTCTCATAAAGAAAAGAGTTTCTGTCTTCGAACTCAAAAAATGGGTCAAGGTCTTCATTAAAGACGCTTGTGGCAAATGATCCAAATCGGGCAGTAGCTTGTCTGTATATTTCATTTTGATCGATGACATTGTAGATAGTGTCCTTTTCTTTATCAGCCACTATTGTCATTGCACTTTCGTATAGAGCCAGGTTATTCCCAAGATAACTCCCATGTACATATGAAGTAGTGAATTCGTTGATAAACTTAATGTTTGCAGCCAAATTCACAATCTTAGATTTTATGATCATGAAAATGTACAAAGGAATCTTTGTATCATGGGTGATAGTCAGATGGTTAGGATCAATAGGAATTCCTTCCCAAAAGTTCTGTATGTGTTGCTGAATCATGTTGTTTACTTTTTCAAGTAGTCTCACCTTTTTCATTGGGCCTTCTCATTCATTTATCTCTTTCAACTTTATAATAGCTCTCTGGAAGGGTTTTAAACGGAGCCTGTTCTCAATTACCCAAATTTTAGGGAGATTATTAACTTTCTCAACTGGAGGTGGAGAGGTCTTCCTCTCATTATGAAAAGATCTTGATCTCCTGTGTTCATACTCAGCCTCAATAGCATCAAAACAACTCTGAGAGTCTTGATTATCTTCTGCACTTTCTGGGATACTCTCCAAAACCATTTTATTATTCTCTATAAAAGACTTGGGATTCTCCATTCTTCTGCTTTGTGACATGGAATGACGGTTCTGGTAATCCAAATTAATACTCATCAGTTCTGATATTCTCGCTTCATGGTTACTATGACAGATATCCTTGTGTATCTTCAGTATGGGAGAAGTAGCGTCTCACCTAAAGTATTCATTGACTCTTCACTCAGCAGGGGTCATTCGTTTAAATTCTTTGAACCTTTGTCTGAGGTTTTCCTCAAGATCAGTAAACTCAAGTCTGAAGAAGCTGAAGACGATCTTATAGACTTCTTTACTTAGGACCATATTAGTGACACTTTCCATGAAGTCCTCTTTAAGTTCATTAACTTCGCTATGGCGTAACACAGGTAGATAAAACTGCCTAGTCGCTTTTAAGAGTAACTTAATGAACTGTTTGGCATCACCTACAACCTGATCTGTCAGGAAATAATTAGAATTCTGTTGGATAGAGGGCCCTATTCTGCCTTCTGTAGTCTCATCATGGTCAAGCTGTTGGAAGCCATGATAATCATGCTGAGTAAAGGTCTTCATCTTCTTATTGATATGGTCAAGTCTTTTCTTTAGTCTTACTGAGTTCGCCTTCTTTCGATCGACAAATTTTTGGTAACATTGTCAAAACACCTGAGCAAATTTCTTATTCAGCAGTTGTATAGGATGATTATTTGCTAGCTAGTTGTTTCTTTATTCAATAATACAACGTCTTTGTGAGATCAGTAACTTCACCATACTGGGCGGCCATATTAAACGAAGCATTACTCATAGATAATTGGCTCATTCTTCCTTGGCTTTTATATTCTATAAAATCCTTTAGTCACGCACTATCAAAATCATTTTGGACGTTGATACTGTTATCAATGAATTTTCTCAAGAAGCTTTCATCAACTTCTTCTCAAGTATCTTGATATCTCAGAGCAGCTTTACGGCCGTACTCGTATTTTAGTCGAATCATCTCTATCTCATCATAAAAGATTTGCCTCTTTTCATTTAAATGGTCTTTATTCTGTTTAACATATCTAGCAATTTCTTTAAAGCCTTCCTGAAGTTTAGAGAAATTTGTTAAGCCATCCACTAATTCGGTGAGCCAACTCTTATCCTTCAAGGCTTTTTGAAAGGGTTTCTCAAAGTTTGTATCAACCCTGGTAGGAACATATCAGGCAAATCAGGATTTGTTCTGCTCGACATGCTGAACTTTCTTATTTCCTCCTCCTTCCAGGAGAATCTAGTGGATCATGAAAACTAGGGTTTGCTTCAGGGTTACTTAATTTTCGCATAGTTCCATTACAGTAATTGTTGAATTTACCTGTTTCTCGTTGAAAGTCTAAATCTCCAGATAGCCTTTCATAGATTTGTTCTTTGTGCCTCCAGAGTTCTTCATGGTCTTGAGATTGGTTGCTCCCCATTCTTGTATATTTATTATTATATAATATTAGCAATGGTTCAAAAGTCCACCACGAATTGGGGTTTTGGGGTTTTGGGGTTTTGGGG